GGAATCCCTCAATTTAAATAAAACGAGGCCACGCTTTATTAACTCGTGCGCACGCTTTATTAACTCGTGCGCACGCTTTAGTAACTCGTGCGCACGCTTTAGTAACTCGTGCGCACGCTTTAGTAACTCGTGCGCACAAGTTACTAAAGCGTGCGCACGAGAAAGTAAAACGTGGCCACGTTTTATTTATTTTTCTCTCTAGGAACCCTCCAGGGCTCCGTAGAAAGTAACAAAAACAATGTAAAAACCTTTTCCGTTTCACAGAACACAAATTGGGTTATTTACATAATTATGTTTACACTGTCGATTGTTATTTTTTAACATTCAAACATAAAAGATAACAACTAGCCGCAAAGCTAGCATCACAGCCACTGCTCCGTTTTCGGAGACTTTGCACACGTTTTTCACAAACATTTTCACACGCTAGGAGTATGGGAGTACTTCCATTCGCTTTGTCTTGATCTGTAGATGTGATTTGATGTGTCGTGTGTCCCCCAACTCCTCTCAAAAGTTCAGATATTTAATCAAATACTCAGGGGAGTTTCCTGAATTTTCATGCCCAAAGCAAAGCACTAGGCCCTGGGTAAATTAAGAGGCTGATCTCGGGCACTTTTGTCACTTTGAATTGAAAGAGCGTTAGTGTTATCATCTCCCTATTGATCAAAGGAGGTGATGAAAAACAATACAATACAATAGGGAGAGTTCACAACAAGCTTGGAAGAAACGGAGACAATCATGAAATGCCAAAAAGTTTCATTTTTAAACATAAGGTATTATCGTTTTTGTTGCAAACCTGACCGTGGCTTAATGATAGTACATAAACACTACTACAACAGAAACTGGTCAAATGTGACTCTTTGTTTGCTCTTGTTAAAGTAAATGTTTTAACCCATTTGTGGGTAAAGACGTGCAGACATACGATGCTACTGTGTTTGTTGAAACAGATCACCTTGTATTGTTTTTGTTTCCGTGCAGCAATAATACGACAGCTGTTTTGTAAATCCTAGTGGTTTGTGCCAACTGAATGTAAACGCAGCTACTAATACCACACCCTGTGTCCAGTCTCTAGTGATGATGGTGTATCTGTAGGAACATTTTTGAAATATCCAATTCTCAAATAAAACTGGATGTTAACAAAAGATTGATGCTTGTTTATTATCTCAATGTTTTTACCCTTCCTCTGAATGTCCTCTGTTTGTATATGTGGAGTTACATTTGGCATTAAATGAAAACTAGAGTTAAACAAAGAAACTAACTACATTATGTTCAGTGTGGTCTTCAAGGATTCTTAACATCCAAAAAAACATCTATTGTGTCATTATTTAAATCTTAAAATAAATAAACACATTGTTGGAGTTTTAAAGAATTCCTTTTTAATTGAGAAAAAATACTAAAAGGTAAATAAAACATTAAAAATAATGACAAAATAACAACCTGAAAGATATGTATTCTATCTACACATTTCGTAATTATCTAATCTAGTGGCCTTATAAAAGTGTTGGCTAAAGTAACGCAGAATAGATTTATTTTTTATTGTAAATAATTAGAAATATTATTTATGTGCACAAGTACATAAATATAAAAAAGGTCCAAATGCGCGAATAAGTATAAACAGTGAATGTGTAAATAAATACATGCAAAAATATGAAAAAATAAATGAATAGGGAAAGTAAATGAGATATACTGACAAACAAATAGCTACAGATCAAGAAATAAAAATTAGTACATAAATGTGTCATACTTAAATTAGTATTATTTTCTATTGTATTTCACTGTTCCTATTATTAATATTATTATTATTATTTCTTTCTTTTAAATCTATTTCCCGTGTCAGTTTTGGGACCCCACCATAAGACCCCACACATAACAAGCTGTCCCGAGTTCCTCCGGCTGCAGTTCTGCAGACGGCCGGTGTGTGGCAGCAGAGCGCTGGAAGCAGAGGGAGGTGAGTTGCGGTGAGTTGCTGTACAATATGATGGATATGATGGATGACGGATGCGACGGAAATACACCCGAACACATCTGGTACCCCGAACACATCTGGTACCGACACCGGCCATTGCTGCTCGAAAGCGCTGGAGACGCTGTAGTACATATGCCAGGCCTGTAAGTGGCGCTGTAGTCCGCCACAAAAGCAGCGAAGAAGACTTCCCTTGCATGGTTGCCATGGTTGCCCTTCTGTTTATTCTCCGCTGTGGCTCTTTTTCTCCCTCCCCGAAGCAAGCGTTTGCGCCTCCTGCTTTAAAACAAATGAATAATGACTCTATATAATCATATGTAATGGATAATGTACAGCGACGCGGTCATTATGGGGAAAAGAACACCGACAGGCTGATCAGGAGCCCGACGCGAAGCGGAGGGATCTAGATCGGCATGCAATGTGCACATTATCCCGCTTATTACATGGCCACATTCTCGACAAAGTAAAGACATGACTCCCAATATTAATTGAAATGCTTTTATGGATTTAGAAAATGATTTTATTGATTTAAAAAATAGTTGTATTCTTTTAAAATTGACATGCATCCGCTAAGAAAAATAGTCCGTTGTTACTGTTTGAACTAACGTACCAACGGCAGGAACTGCTTCGATAGTGTTTTTGAGGAGCTTTTTGATTACAGATTTGAAAACATCGTTGCTTGCTTTAAAAGTAGCACAATTCATGATGTCAAACCTTGGAAAATATCTAGATATCCCTGCCCTAATGCCAACACCCCTCTCCTGCAGGGGGGCGTGGTCAGTTGCAGCTCACAGAATCAGCCCCCTGCAAAAACAGCGCTGGAAAGAGCAAATAGAGCGAAATGAGGCATGGCTAAAATGCAGGATCTGTTTGGTATTTTGAAAAAAAAATAAATATATTTATATACAGGTATGGCCCTACAATATATGTTTCAAATATAGCATGATTGGTCACCTTTAACACTAACACACACACACACACACCACACACACACACACACACACACACACACACACACACACACACACACACACACACACACACACACACACACACACACACACACACACACACACCACACACACACACACACACACACACACACACACACACACACACACACACACACACACACACACACACACGATGCTGAGCAGATGCTAAGAGCAACAATTGTGATGCATTTTACCTGCATGAGTTTCTAACTGAAAAAAATGCTTCCAGTGTTTGTTCTCAGAGATCTGACTCAACGCAATTATTTATTTTAAAATGATCATGAATGCATTCGTTTGCATTTCACTGCATACCATGGAGAGAGCCAGAAAGACATATGCATTAGCCTGTGGGATGTGTAGCTTAGATCACTGAGCCAGCAGAACACAGAAAAGTATTGATTTAGTCCTGACTCTCACACAAACAAATGCTCAAACAGTAATTGTTATTTGACAGCTTCCTGCTAAGAAATTAAGAAATCAAAAACCCATAACTCACTTGTTTGGGTTTTATCTTTTTTTCCCTATTATCGCTCAAAGGGCACTCCCATATATCTGCTACCAAAACAATAATAATCAACAGAACACAAATCAACAGTTTGATGATGAAGGAAATCTCAACATAAGGGAACACAGATGCTTCAGCAGCTTCCTCGGTTACAACCACCTGTGACAAACTCCATACTTTGGAGACAAAAGAAAACACGCAGATTGACTCTTTTGAGATTTTTCTCAATGTGAATTATTAAGCAGCAATGTCAGATTTGGACTGGATACAGCTTCCAATGGTCGGAATCAGTAATCTCTTAATTTGTAATATGATTCTAAATTGAATGCCTTTTGTGTTGGAGTGTTTGTTGGACAAAAAAAAAAGCTATTTTTTTTAACATTTCAAGAACCAAACGAAAAACAATGTCACCCTACATCAGTGGTTCTCAAAGTGGGGGGCGCGCCCCCCCTGGGGGGCGCAGAGTCATGCCAGGGGGGGCGCGAGAGACATGGAGGAAAAATTGTTAGAAAAAAAAAAAAAGATAAAAAAAAAAAAAGTCATAATTTGAAAAAGTATTTATTCAAAAATAATATGATGCAGTACTATTACGTCTGGGTCTCTGTGTTTCATTAAAGCTCGGCTCTGTGTGTGTGTGGAACGAGCCATTTTGTGTGCGCGAGAGAGAGAGCGCACCGGTACCGGAGATCGTTGTTGTTAGCTTCTGGTGCTAGCAAGCTACGCTAACGGAGTTTTTTCAACAACAAGGTGGAGGAGAGTCCTCTCCTGTCAGACTGAGAGACTGAGAGACTTAGTGAGCTAAAGGACTCTATCAGTGTTATCTCAGTGGGTCTCAAACGTTTTGGTCACCATTAATGTAAACAATTATTTCCAAGGCACACGTTTATATGATCATTATAGTTATAAAAAAATACGAGAATAAATGAAAAACAGGTAGGAAATACTATATGACAGTAAAACAAGAATAAAGTTTAAAAAGGTGATTTGTCAAATATCCATTAAGAAAAAGTAAATCTGTTTACAGTTCTGTTTCATATGGGTGTTGAGAGATGCATCCATAGATCTCTTCATTTTGCTCTCAAAGTGCACCAGATTGATGCTTTTAACTTCAATATTTAAAAATAAATCTTCCCGTGGGAGCTTGCCCCCGGACCCCCCTATGTGAGGTCCACACACCACCTATAAAAATAACACTTTACCCCTGCTTACACCTATATGCAGCCGTGAGCTGATTATCGAGCCTTCATTGTGACAGTCGCGGGTACACTGTGTATATGCGTGGGGAGTGTTGCAGTAGAAAATTCCACTGTAGCGACCGGTACATTAATGGGAAACCCTAAATGTTTGAGCACCCTCTATGAAACGTCAAGCTACCCCACAGCACCCCCAAAATAAATCTCTGGCGTCGCCACTGAGCCTGACTATTTGTGTTGGGGGGGCCCGACTTTTTTTTTTGTCCAAAGGGGGGGCCTGACAGAAAAATTTTGAGAACCACTGCCCTACATGAATCACTTGGTTTGCATTGTGTGTTTCCACCAACCTTTGATGGGCGGCTTGACTTCTCCGTTCTCCATCTTGAGTTCGTTGATCACTTTGTGCTTCTTCTTCTCCCTCTCTCGGCGGTCTTTGACCTTCTTCTTCTCCCTCTCCTCTCGGTCTCTCTCTGTTGCCTCGTCCTTGTTGGAGTGCTCTGTGGAAGCAGAGGGGATGTTTTCAGGTCTCTTAGGTTAGCATTAGCGCCCAGACTTACTCACTACACACATACTTCACTTGTTTGAGAGCACTTCATTTGTTTTTCTCCTGCCTCTTGACTAAACTCTTGCTAAGTGTTTCACCTTGGCCATCTACCTTTCCCTAATCGTATTGCTCTTCCTCCTACAAACGGTTCCCTGTTCCCTCCCTGGTGCAACAAATCCATGTCTCCACGATGCCTTTAGTTTTATCTCTCTCCTTTCCTCAGCACTGTAATGACCTACCAATTCCCTTTAAGACTCCAGCACTCACTCTGCAACTTCACACACAGCCATAAAGCTCTTCAAAATATCCTGCACGTTTCCTCCACCTTACTCTCTCCGTCTTCTTTCCTCTGCTAGTGTCAATATGATCCGCTCTTAAAAATCCTGCCTTGCTTTCTGACTTATTTGATTTCCTCTTCCCGGCGCTTCTCCCTCTGACAGAATCATTTCAGTGTTGAGGGAATATGTGCAGATCAAGGCATTGGAGTGCACTCTCAGGTTGCACTCATTGCAAATGGCTGTGGGTGAGAGCAGCAGTTTAAGATGAATATCAGCCATCCCACGTACCCCTCCAGTGCTTCCTGAAAGGTAAGTGTGGATGGGAGTAAATCATCTCTCTCCTCCAGCACAAGCTAAGAAAGAGTTCATTGCTTTTTCAAATATAATCTTGAAACATTGCAGAGAATTTCCTGATTTCAATAGATTTAGTTTTTATTCTTAGGGTTTCTGACATTTCCCCTGTTAGGTACTTAGCTGTGTTCTTTGCAACACTTCATCACTTTGTTAAGAACAGTTCTGTACAAATAAAGATAATATTTCTTAAAATAACTACATTCTTATATACATCTTCTCCTTTGATTCTTTATTTCCTTTCATATCCACATAAAGAAAGAACAACTTTTTATTTTCACCACAGTAGTTCTTCTGCTTATTCTTTCTTTTCTTTGAACTCAGTCAGATCAGCATTTAAAAGGAAGCTGTGACTGAGACTGTTCTCTCTCCTGTGGTCATGGGGAGTGGGAGAGTGAACCCAGTGGGGTTGGACTGGCTGTTTGCAGGATCAAAGGAGAACATTCTTTGAAAGTCAAAAAGGCTTAAAGGAGCAGTCGGAGAATCAGCGGTGCATCGATACACTCCTTTTGAGTGACTATATTTCAATCAAAACCATGGCGTTGTGAACTTAAGTAGGTCGCTTGGGTTTGCTACTGAACATGCAGGAAGTCATTACCCTCGTACCTTGTGGTTAACAACGGAAGGCAAACATTTTTAACAAAGCGTTTTAAGAAATGCTGCAAAATGACTAGACACTGTAAGCTGCCTGTTAAAGAAGAAACGGCATGTTTCAAAACATCCATTTAGCTCTACTACAGGAAGTCGCCCACAAAGGAGGTTTCACTCAGATCTAATGCCAGATATATGAAAACATGTCCGACCATGCCAGAGCGGCAGCATTCATAAACTTTGAATTAAGACGCAATAGGAGATAAATTAGCCCAGGTGGCTGACTGGGTCTTAAACAAACTGGAATATGTGCTAATTTATCACAGCTTGAGAAGAGGGGCTCCCCCTTTAAAGTCAAAAAGGACACCAGTGAATTGCTTGAGGTTCACACGTTTTAAACTGGTGTGAAGCTTCACAGTGTTGATGTGTCATGGGAATACACCACAAAGCTAGAGGTGCAAGTGAATCAGAAATGAATGGGATCCATGAAACTTCTCAGGTTTTTTCTGAGCTTGTTTTCAGGCTTCCTTGCAGCAGCAGCCGGGTTCTGAAGGGGAACACAGCAGGTGCTTTTAACTGTCCGGATGATCACAGAGAAGAAAGGACTTTGAAACATAGAGGGCCAGAGGCAGACGGTTTGTTAACGTCAACTACGCAAGTCCCCACTGCCATCCAACTTTTAGAGCTGTGGAGGAGAATCATTAATGCATGAAGTCAAAGGGGGGTTTCAGATTTACATTTCGACAACAACTGTAGTATCTTCAAGTCACTTGCCCTAAAATAACCTTTATTATTGTTACATTACAGTGTTACATATTATAGTGTTACATTTATCTGTAAAAAGCAGATTTTTTTGGCTAGCTAGTGTGTGTTAGTGCTGCCAGCAGAATCAAGCTAAATGTGTGTCCTAGTATTTTGTTGCGGAATCTGAGGGCTTCCAGGATTAGACATCACAGCTAAAGGAGAAGCTATGTGCACAACATGCTCGATATCATTTCTGCAAATAGAATGACTCCCGGTGGCAACCAGACAGAACAAAGGTGAAAGCCACCCAGGCCTATGATGTACACATTAAAGAGGGAAAACCGTAACATTAAAACACTGCAGTGAGACACCAAAGTGAAGGCGATATATCAGTGTTGTAGGACTCCCTGCCACACGACAGGTAAACCGGCCCACCAGGACCCTCCTAAGTCCAGATGTGCATACGTGGCAAATTCAAGCTGATCTCAAAATGTAAATTGCTGTTCATTCACTCCTTGTCAGTCCCTTTAACGGTCTTGTAATGCTTGGGTCTGAATAAATGACCCTGCAGACAGTTAATTCATAGTTAATTGGAGGCTGATTGCGGCCACGCTTGATTTTCTCTTTTCCTGTCGCTGTACGAGGACAGGGATTCTTTCAGCATGCTGCATTAGCATTCACACACAAACCTAATTACTGCAGACATGATTCACAACAGCCCCAGTCTCCCTGGTTTACATGCATTGTTTAATGGTCAGAATAATGTCCAACAGAGCTCCAATGCATAGTCGACAGACAGATAATTGTTTAGTTGTTAAAGCAATTTTGCATTGGAAAAAAAAGCAGATACCCATGATAGGTCGACTAAAGGCCATTAGGAGATCATTAGGAAATTGATAGCCATCACAGGTACTCACTAGTTTGTAAGTTGATGTGTTTAAAGATCAGCTTCATGAAAGTGCATATTACAATTTACAAAAGTACAGGACCCATCACACCAATAGCCATATAACTGTTTGCATCAGCTTTAATCTATATAGCACATGTGACACATCAAAACATCTACAGTGGCCAGGCAGACAGAAGAGTTTCATTAGTTCAGCCTTTTTATTCAGTTATGATTGATCTGAATGAAACCCAATTGTGAGTAAGAGTATCTTTAGAGCTGCATCTGGTTTTACTTATAATATCCGACTGCATGTAAATGGAGGTCAACAACAGGTCTTGTGGCGCATTTCCACCATGGCGCGGAGCGCGGTTTAAGCGTGCCGTGTCGTGCTCGTTTTGGTTGCGTTTCCACTGCCTAGTTCCGGCCCGGGGCTACTTTTTTACCTTTTTTCTGGCCCGACAAAATCGTGGTTCTATCGGGGCCAACAAACAGGGCTGAGTCGGGCAGAGTATGCTACACTAGAGAGAGAGAGAATCGCTGGCAAGGGGCCTACAACTACAACAAGATGAACATATTTGACCGTGAATTAATTGTAATACACGTTTCTAAATGATGCCGAAGTAACAACATACTGATACCGGTTAGTAAAAACCATGAATTAATATTTTGACAGGTCTGCAGACAGACGGCAGGCGAAACACCTTTTAAAATGCGTGTTTTCTGAATGGAGATCGGCTAAGCTAACGAAATATATGTTCCGACAACAACGGCCTACATAGACGTAAATAAACCAGCGACTGTATTCACCATGACACAGGCAGTCTGTGGTTTGTACTTGTTTAACTTTTGTCTAGTTTCTGAACAGATATGAGGAGCTGTGAGCTCTGAGGGCTAACAGCTAATGGCTGATGTTGGTTTTGTGTTTCGCATTGAAGATGACGTCACGGCCTAACTATACCGTACTAAGCCGTGCGAGGCCCTGCAGTGGAAATGCGCCATTAGAGTTAAACAATTATTTATTTCACACAAGATCAGCTGACCTAATGCAGTAATGATTCCTCGTTCACTGCACTTACTCCAGTGTCTCTAATGTCTAGACCAGATGTATGTAACCAGGAGTCGTGGCAGTATCATTAACTTCAGAGCAGGAAATGTCCTCCTGTTGGACAGCAGTCTGTCTAACAACAAGTGAAAACATATTAGAAAAACAATATTTCAATTGTGTGTTTTCGCAATCCCCTCAAGTCTATGCTGACAGCAGCTGTGTGACAGAGAGAAGGAAAAGGACTGACACACTGTAACAGCTTTAACAGGAAGCTGGAGCATTTTAATCCTTTTGAAACATTTTGCTCAGGATTAATTTTCCAGCAACACTCTGCTCAATATTCAGACTTCCTCATCTGCACATTTGAAGCTACTCAATATAATGACAGTCTGGCCATTGAGCAGAACCCAACAGCAATTACAGGCTCAGGACTTTGCTCAAGAGCACCTCAGTGGGTGCTTTTATTTATGGTTACTTGTGATCACATTGGATCAGGTTTAGGGCTGCACAATGAGGAAAATATGCGATGTTAAATATCACAATATAGATATTACAAATATATAAATAAACAGATATTAAAATGTACTCAGTTGTTCCTTTCTGCTGCTTTCAGATGTTGCATATTTCTTGTTAATTAAAAAACAATAAGGAGATTATTTCCAACATGTGTATTGAACACAAAAGGCACAAACAAACAAGTATAATGGATTACATATTAAGTTCAGTTTACTTATATGCTCTTAAAACTACACAAAAATCTGATTGTGTTTTTCATGCAATCATTTTTCCCCCTCATTAAATAGTTCCAGCATGCATGTATATAAGTTGTTGAATTAACACAATACATTCAATAAAACTACACTGACTTTTTGTGTAATAATTGGTAAATAAAGGTGTATTTACTCAGTTAAGAACATTGTTTATTTAACAGTTACATTCTTTTTTTTAAATCCCATTTCTGTTCCAGTTCTATGTGAAGACCAACCCCAGCCTCCCTCTGTTCTGAAATGCAGATAAAGCGTGCACACACATCCAACACAGGCAGTGATTAAACATAAAGTAGTAGCTTCAGCGCTGTGACAGTCATTAGCATATTTCATCATGTAAAGAGAAACATAGCCTAGATATTTAGCAAAACATATATTTAAAAATAAACAAGTAGTTGGACAATTTGCGGTATTGTATTTAAGATATCATAATATTGTAATTTGTTACCAACTGATTGTGTTGTGATTATTGTTGTCTTGCCATTTAGGCTATTTCACTGACAATTGTACCCGAGCTAAAATATTGATATTGTTTTCCTTCTGACGTAACAGCTCATAATTGTGGTCCTGCCTGACTCATCATACTACTTCCCTGATGGCTCCCACAGGATTGTTGACATCCTCGTGGATTCATCTTCCTATTATACACACATGCATTTCCAAACATTTGGACTACCTATGATGCAAATGTATTATCTTTTCAATTTACACACGGCATCTATTGCACGTCTGTCCGTCCTGGGAGAGGGATCCCTCCTCTGTTGCTCTCCCTGAGGTTTCTCCCATGTTCCCTTTAAACTGTGGGTTTTCTCCGGAAGTGTTTCCTTGTACGATGTGAGGGTCTAAGGACAGAGGGTGTCGTATTGTCATACTGATATTCTGTACACACTGTGAAGTCCACTGAGACAAATGTAACATTTGTGTTATTGGGCTATATAAATAAACATTGATTGATTGATAATTGCTAGTGTCAATCGTATCCAAGTGTAATGACTAATAAAGGTTGTTCAATTGTAAAACAAATTGATGTAGGTGTGGATCAATGAACAGCCTACACCATGATCTGCGTGTAGAACATGGAGTAACAGCCTCACTCGACAGCAACAACAAGCGAGGAGCTGTGCTTCCAGCCTGAGGTTAGCGAGGGGGGCGTGGTGCTCTACCAAAACAACACTTACCCCATAATGGCGGGCGACTGTCATATTGTTATGACAGCAGCGTGCAGTTTAGTGCACACACACTACTCCTTAGGTAATACAAATATATAAGCGCATTGATATTACAGAATAACAATTTACTTAATTGTTACGCTGACATGACGGATTATAGTTTTTGTACGCCGTTTATAACAGCTTACATTACCATAGTAATAAAACAGTATACATATTTTTCGACAATATATGACGTAACAATTCCTCTGCAGCACGAGAGCAGCTGGTTGCGAACATCCCGGTCTTGCGACTACTGCCCTGGAACGCTGTTGTGGAGCTCGAAGGTTCACGAGCGGGTGAACAAGCGACGAGAGCTGGCAGCCATGTCCCGCAGAAACACCGACTAAACTGGGCTTTATACACGCCCAACTCCATGTAAACCTGTTTTATAATATGCATTTATAATTTAGGGAAACCGTTGAGAATGTTACGGGTCCATAGACAACATTTAGGAGCGCTCTTTAAGCGGTAGCTTATCCAAAAACGGGACAAATTATGAGGCAGACAACCGCACTCTCAGAGCCACATGTTCATGCCCCAAGTGGATGATTCTACGATGAGCCAAGTAACTACAAAGCACCACAGATCAACCCTACATATAATAACCACAACTTATGAATTCCTTTCAAATATAATTAAAATAAAATACACTGCTGGCCTACCTTTGGGTGCCAACATGACCTCCCCATTTTCTCGTTTCACTGCAGAAGTGGTGTTAATTGTGCTGATTTCGTTGTTGTTATTAACATTATCCCCGGGTCCGGAGGTCACCAGTACTTTAGTTCTCTTCTTCTCCTCTCCGCCTCCTGCCCCCTTCTCCCGCTGTTTATCTTTACTGGGGTTTTTGTGTTTGGAGGAGGAAGGCGCTTTGTGGAGGAAGAAGTCGCTCTGTTTAAAGACTTTCTGCGTGTTTGTCGGTGGCTGGTGCCCACTGGTAGCAGGCACCGAAGGGTTGTTGCTACTCGTCTTAACCGGGCTGAAGCTCCACAAGCCCGCCCCATAAATCTGCTGCTTATTGGGCTGCTGGAGTTTCTCTCTGCCGTTGCCTCCCACTCCTGCTTCCCGGCTGAGTTTCTTGGGTTTAACGCTCCTCTCCTCCAGTCGGACCTTCTTGGGCAGCGGCGGATTGAAATCCCGGGAAGACTGAAGGCGGTTGTCAGGGGCTCCCTTTGCCTCGGTCGGCTTGACCAGCGGGCTTTTGGCGGAGGCGACCGCCGGGGCTACCGCAGTAGCAGCTCCGGTGAGGTAAGCGGAGCACAGCGAGTCAGCCATCTTGAGGCTTCTCTCTCTATTTACTCTCTTCCCCAACGGCCGCCGCTGCTGCTGTTTTTTTGTTGCGCGACGTGCAGGCAGGCAGTGAAGGGGCGGGGCAGAGTTTGATGGACAGGTGGTCAGCGAGGGGCGGGACTAATCTTGACTGACAGACAGAGAGGGAAAAACTAAAGGCGGAGCTTACCTCTAATGTGTTCTCTGAAAAATAATCAGCGGCAAGACCTCAATTAAAGTGAACATCAACACCAACAAGCATTATGAGAAATATAACTTCCTCTGGTAGCTACCAACTACACTCCTCCAAGTGCTTGCTTTAATGTCTTTAAATATCTGGAGTAAACTGTTATATCCACTGATGAATTTAAGGGAATCATAACAAATGTGTTAAAGGAGGCATGAAATGAAACAGCTGTTCTTCGCAATTATTGGGAAGTTTTGTACGTCATGTTGTTTATGTTATAATTGTGTAGTAAGCTATCTTGACCACTCTATGGTGTAATATATCTTTGGTGGGACCTTCTTCTAAAATAAAGGTTACATAATAAAAAAACATTAAAATAACACTTGTGATTAATATTATATTGTAAGCATTATTTACCAACCAAGTATTTGTAATACATATTTAGATCATTAGGCAAACAAGTCATGGTTTACTCAGAAATGTATAATACATAAGATTATATTCAGTTTATTAATTTGCAATTACTAAATTATTATTTGGATTTAGTTTGTTTTTACATATTCGTCACAACTGACTGAAAGTGCCTGTAGAGAACTTTGGTGTTGGTGATATGTGTGTTTGATAAAATGAAAATATTCTAAGGAATAACGTTCCCTTTTTCAGCATCTACTGTATATGACTCATGTACCTAAAAATAGGATGCAATATCATGTTTATTCTAGGTTTCAAAACAGAGCTGACACACTTGTCAGTTCCTTCAGATGGTGCAGCCTGCTGCTCCTGCTCACACACTGAACGGCTATATTTATAAGTAATTACACAACATGTTAAACTGCTCCATGGGGAAACTGAGGTGACCCAGTTCAGATGGCAATCTGGCTTAATGCATACAACAGGCAGATAGGGAAAGGTGTGTGTGTGTGTGTGTGTGTGTGTGTGTGTGTGTGTGTGTGTGTGTGTGTGTGTGTGTGTGTGTGTGTGTGTGTGTGTGTGTGTGTGTGTGTGTGTGTGTGTGTGTGTGTGTGTGTGTGTGTGTGTGTGTGTGTGTGTGTGTGTGCGTGTGTCATGTGTGTGTATTCAACACATCGATCAGGTGTGTAAGTCACAAAAAAGTGGTAAAGTAAAGGAGAGAAAGTTAGCAGGAGTGGTGTTAGGCCTGTGGAATTCATGGATGGATCCTGCCTTATAATGTAGAATAAAAAGTATTTAATTGTCTTTAGCTGTATTAGTTCTGTGCTGTATTTTTCTAGATTTGAAACATGTTGGATGCTTCCATCAAGTGATCTTTCTAGGACGTGTATATCTTGTATGCATTGATATACATCCTGCCTAAAATGACTTAATTTGACTCCTTTATAATTCCTGAACATAGTGACATCACTATGTAACACTCACACTTCTATTGGCTAGCTCTAAGGGATGGGACATCTATAAGCGGTTGACCAATCACAACAGAGCCGGCCAGCTAACCAATCAGAGCAGACTGGGCTCTGGTTTCAGACAGAGGGTGAAAAGAGGTGCTGCAGTATGAGAAAAATAAAGAGCTTTGTGGACAGCATGGAGACATGTCCCAGTAGAGACACTACCGTGAACACATTACACCCATCCTCATCAAGCTCCACTGGCTCCCCATCCCCAGAGAATTCAGTACAAGATCCTCCTGATGACATACAAAGCCCTCCATAACCTGGCCCCATCCTACCTGACTGACCTCCTCCACAGACACACTCCCACTCGCTCCCTCCACTCTGCTGCTGCCAACCTCCTGTCCCTCTCCACCCGGACCAACCTCAAGTCCTGGGGTGACAGAGCCTTCTCTGTTGCTGCACCCACCCTCTGGAACTCACTACCCCAATCCATCAGAGATTCTTCCTCCCTCACAGCATTCAAAACCCACCTGTTCAACACTGCATTCAACCACGGACCATCCCCCTCCCCCCTATTTTCTGTTCTGTTTATCTCTTTTTGTATTTCTTTGTTATCTATTTTTTTATTCTTTTTTTGTTTTTCTTGTCTTTTTTTCTCCTCTTAATTCTCTGTCAAAGCGTCTTTGAGTTTCATGAAAAGCGCGATAAAAGTCCCATGTATTATTATTACTACATACTGATATGAACATGTGCATTGTAGGACCCCAACAAGTCTTTTGAAGATGTCATTGCTGTAACGCGTGAGAGGACAGACACAAACCTGCTCTGCGCACCTATACCTTAAATATTGTATGGTAATTAACTGTATAATTAATCTCAAATGAGCCTGTGAGCAGAAGTAAATAATCCCAGTATCTTCCTACCCGCTGTGCCTCTCTGTGTTTAAAGTGAATAGAAATATGCAGTCTACAGTGTCTCTGTGTAAGACAGTTAGCGCCTGTGTTTTTAACACCTGCTGGGACTAATTCATCAGTGCATCACTGTGGGTGTGTGTGTATACATTTGTCTCTGCAGAATTTCCAGCTTTGATAGAGGATTTCATGCTGTGAAAGCCCTTTTTTACACACACACACACACACACACACACACACACACACACACACACACACACACACACACACATGCAAAACTACTAGCTAAATAAATACAATAACAATATTTAAATTCTAGTCAAAATTAACTTGTGTTTGCTGCTATATTAGTTTATTATTTCTATTGATTGCTTTTAACTGTATTCTAACTATTGAATTGTTTGTGTATAGCACTTCCTATTACCTTGTTGCTGAAATGTGCTTTATAAACTTGTAAATAAAAGCTGTCTGTATTTCCACTCACACAACACATTTTTTGTTACATCATCTCACAAATAAAACCAAAGAGGCGTGTCTTCACTTAATGGTCAGCTTTACTGATTGATTTCTGCAACATACAAACATGTTGGGGCTGTGTGTGTTTGTGTGTGTAAGGAGGGTCACGAAGTGTGTGTGGGGCTCGGTGGGGCTGAACAGAGTCCCACAAGAGGCGATGAGCAAGCAGCAGCGAATCAAATCGCTCACACTCACGGCGCTAATGATGATTGGAGGAGAAGGGGAGGGCGGGCTCTCTCTTAAAGGCACAGGTGGGCTCTTTTCTGAGATAATGTGCATGTGACGGGGTCAGGTGGGAGGATAAAAGAGAGAAATGTGGACAAACAAAGTGGTTTTAAAAGGTTTTCTTTCTCAACACGTCATAATTCAGCTTGCTGGCACTTTGAACCACTGAAAGCAAGTCGCATTACTTCAATTAACTGATCTTCTGGCGTGTTGAAAAAGACATCCTTTTAAAAATGTAAAAAAAGGCAGAACCGAGGGTGGGAGGGGAATAAAGGCGAGAACACAGCAGGGGAAGTATGAAAGAAAAATAATGAGCTGCTCCTTGTTCAGAGTGAGAGATCCATCTCTGATGCATGTTCTACATTCAAAGAGCTGAGAGAGATAAAAGAAATGGGTAAAAAAGAAGGAGGGGAGTGTGAGAAGAGAGGAGAGGGAGCAGTGGACAACAAACAACCGCGTATACAAAAATAACTTTTAAAATACCATTTACAAAAAACAACCGCTATTATTATTATCATCATTAATATTATTATTACAATCTTAATCGAAGCCCGTTGTAGCTGTTTGAGGGGGAGGGGGGGGGGGGGGGGGGGGGGGGGGGCTGGCTGACTGGCAGGCAATGCTTTTCCTCTGCCAACCATCTAAAACCAAACATATTTTTAAGCATGTAACTTCAACAGTACAAATAAAAACAACCCTGAAATATTTGCCAGGAGCAAAAATAAACAACATGGGCAGCAGAATAATTTACAGTCTGAAGGGAAACACTGTAGGGGAGGAATCATCATCATCATCATCATCATCATCATCATCATCATCATCATCATTATCATCATCATCATCATCATCATCATGCACTGACTTTTTTACATCTTCTGTTAATAAGAATATTTAAGAGATAACAAACAAATCTGAAATATTATATACCTAAACTGCCCTGTACAGTTTCCTTTATAAAACAATGCATATCATGTATAGTTATGGGAGCTAATGGAGTTAGCAGAGAACAGTAAGCAGTAGTCCTGGGTCCCTATCATTGTCTCACACATATCGAAGCAGGTACGATTTTTTTATTTGAAAAAACATTCAAGTCTGTAAGAGTTTGCTATGGGAAATCAGACTTTACATGAATCTGTCAAGTCCCATAAGAGCAACGGGTGATGTGTACTCTGAAACACTGAGGTTTACTGGAAGTAATATGGCTGCTAAAATCAAATAAAACCTTTGACCACCCAATATTAGAAGGAGAATGAGATCAAACAATTTAACAGCAGAAAAACAAGACAGTGCTGAGGGGGAAAAACAGTGAATTGTGTCCCAGGAAATGAAGTTTATAGAGAAGCCAAAGGGGGAAGGACTGTCTCTGAGAGGCAGACTAAGGCAGGCTCACGTCCCAGCAGTGAGGACAGAGTCACACAGCTGAGCAGTTCGGTCATTACTGATCGATTTCAGGTCACGTTGACTCCTTAGTGACTGGAGAAAGCAGAGTTATTGGGCCGGATTTAGTGTTAAATATTGTAGGATACATGTCGGTGTTTTTCATACTAACTAGTCTTTGCTTTTTTATTGTGAATTATTTGAGAAGGGGGCATCACTCTTTGGTTTTCTCATTTCAAGCGTAGACATGTAACGGATCACTTGTTACAGAACTACTTTTATTGTCAGTATTTAAGAGTTAAGATTTGTTTTCCATCGCCACATGACAAATACAGAGTAAGCAGAGATTTAAAGGAACAGTTCGGCAATTTGGAAACTTCAACTGTTAGAGGAGAAGTTTGATTCCACTCTCATATCTCAAGCTACAGCTAGCAGCTGGTTAGCGTAGCTTGCATAAACGCTGGATAAAAAGCTTGCCAGGCTAGAAGGGGAAAACGCATTTTCGGGTGTCTAGTCTTTATGCTAAGCTAAGCTAACAGCCTCTGTGTACAAATGCAGACAAATAATGGTGTAAACTTTGCATCAGTAAAAAGGTTTTATTTTCCCCAAAAATTAAGAACAATTCCTTTAATTCGGCTGTTACTGATAACTGCAATGACCAAACTACATCAACCTATGACTCTGGGGGGAAAGGGAGGTCAGATACTGCAGCTAACACAGGAATAAACCCACCCAGAAACCCTGATGGGGGGGGGGGGGTGCTCTGTTTCTATGCTGATTATCTTTTATAATGTAGCACCAGCACACAGAAAGTGGGAGAGAGAGCGAGAGAACCCCGGCAACCTGTGCATACCCAACAGAAAAGGTTGCATTTTGGGTAACAGATTATCTCGGTTCGCTTTGAAGATTGTTGTTCATTCAGTAGGAGGAAGCAGACCCTTCAGGGAGTTCAGTTCAACCTCAGAGTCAGCTCCCACTAGATACTTTTCCCCTCATTTGGCGTGAAAGAAATGTTCCATTTCACATGTTAGGATAACACTTACATCCCTCTTTATTTAGCCCCGCACATTTCTTATGATGCAATCGAAGCGAGGGACACAACAAGACGCTTTAAAAAATCTATTCTCAATTCACCAAAAACAGGGGAAAACAGGAGTTGTTCTTTAACCATGAACAGGAGAATAACAAGACAGATCTCAAGTCAGCATCTAGAGCGGGGAACACTTCTAACATCAGCAAGCTGAGCAGGAAAACGTGGACACTTGACCAGTGAGTGTTCTTCTGCTTTGCACAGTGGCACTTTGAGGAAGGACTGAGGAGGAGGAGGAGGAGGAGGAGGAGGAGGAGGAGGAGGAGGAGGAGGAGGAGGAGGAGGAGGAGGAGGAGGAGGAGGAGGAGGAGGAGGAGGAGGAAGAGGAAGAGGAAGAGGAAGAAGAAGAAGAAGAAGATGAGGAGGCGCACAGAGACACACAGAAGGTGTTTCTATGTAAAGTGTGCCGTCTGTCTGTAGCATCTATTAACTAGGGTTTTGGACCAGCCAGGTGAGATCGGTAGAGTCCATCTCCTGACGGGGGAGGACACTGTACGTGGACGGGGGGATGGGTCGTTCCATTATGTCCACTCCAGGGGGGGTTCCCGAGGGCCTTTGGGCTGAATGCAGCGGTTACCGAACCCTGAGAGAAGATGGAAAATAAATGAGGGTTTGCTTTTAACGGAGACAAAACAGAAAGTGTCTTCCCTCTTGTGTTTTCTGCACATGCTGCCCAGAGCTACGTTTACCATCAGCAAAAGCAATGCCACACACATAGAACACATGATGTCATTTTGATAAACTGTGTTAGTAGTAGAAAGCTGACCAGTGACTGAGAGACAGCAGACTTACCCACCCAGCTCTGCCTTGCTGTCTGTTGCCGTGGTGCCAGTAGACGTGGGGTCAGCTAGAGACGTCTTCTTAACACACTCTGACACATCTGCACACACACACACACACACAGATGAATGGGTGGAGGCGCTGTGTGGACATCAGATGATTTTGAAAGGAATATTTCAGGCATAAAAAAGATCATTTGTACATTAATTAGTAACCCTTGGTCATTTCAGAAACCTTTTTTTGCTCGCCATGCCTCATTGGTCAATCCAATCCTGATGAATTGGGGTAAATAGGTGCAGCTTTAACCATAATTGAACTATTCTATAAACTCTTCTTATACTCTTCCATGACAGTAGTCTTTATGAAGATTTGTTATAAATACTAATGTTTTTGGAAGAGGATGTTTTGATAGTTCTGCTGACCCCTATTCTAAAACTCGCCATGGAGGCATGCAAGAAACGTATTGTAAATAATTGGTAAAGAAATTATAATAATCAATTGATCTGTATCTGTAAGTGAAGTATCACTTGCGGGTGTGTTGTCTAATAGTTTGAGTGGTTTAAGACACATTTACACTGCATCGGTTTTACTGAGAGACACCTGAATTTGTTATAATAATTACAAACATATTATTATTTCTATGTTATTGTGACGAATAAGGTTGAAGTAGTTTGTACTGGAATCACTGAAAGCTAGATCAAACTAGTTGTCTTCACACAGTTAATAGAATAATTAGGTTTGATATCTCTGTATGTTATGATGGATGATTTCACACACGTAGGGCCTCACAGGAGCAGCACCACACCTTCAGCTCCAAATCAGCACATGTAGAGAATATGAACTTTTTCACACTGATAACACATTTGCTCTGACAGGAAACTTCTTCTTGACATTTAAAGGGCAGATATTAGAATGAGAAGCCTATAATCTTTAGAAATGTTCAGTTATATTCATTGCTAGTAAATGATCATGATAACAAGAGTCCAACAGTCATTTCCCTTCGCTGAAACGACTAACATTAAATTGGCAGTAACCATCCTCACACAACCTCATCAGCACCCGCACATTTTGCATTTCACTGCTTCTCCCCCCCCCGTCCCCCTGTATCTCTCTCTGTCTCGTTGTGTCTGCTCTCAGCTGTCAGTCCTATCGTCTGCACGGTCATTTGTAAAACACTGAAGCTCTGTCTGCGGCTCTGAATAAATCCTCCGAGTGCTGAACAACCCTCAGGACAAACAGACGTGTGTTCGTACCTTTATTTGAACCGCTCCACTCTGCCGAGGCTGACGACTTCACTTCCAGAGGGTCTGACAGGGGGGGAGGGGGGGGAGAAGGAGGGATGTTAACAAGAGACAACGGATAAAAAATGACACACTTCGACACACATTCCTACACATTCAAACCCTCAGATCAGATCTTTTCCTTTATCATAAACTGAACACATTTATTTATATATCTTATTGCAGTTTATTGATTCAAAAATACCCAAATAGGTAGTGTTCACTTGGAGCAGATGCTTTAAACAACATAACTATATATATATATATATATATATATATATATATAATAGGAATGATTCTGTCCAATGCTTTATGATCCCAATAAGCTGTTGATCATTGTAACAGGAAATTATACAAAAAGTCATTGGTTGTCACTAGCAATGACAAAACAGGTACAAATGTTTGTATAGTTGCCACAATTTGTTCCCCTGCCGTGAGCATTGCATTGTGGGAGATAAGTGTTTAACAGCACACACTCACAAAAAATGAAGCATACTTGGTTTCCTGTTTGTAGTTTAGGACTGATTATATTCTCTCGCCAAGTCACTACAGGTCTGAACTACTGCCAATGCTGCCCCCTAGTGGTGTAACACTCTCACAGCCTCTCACCAAATAAATGAAACCATTTCCTCTCATGCGCTCTTATGCATACTCTCAGAGTACTACACAGGAACAAATCAAACAGCAGAAGGCAACATGGAGGAATACAAAAAAAGGACATAACATGTGTGTCCATCTGTCCGTTAGAAGGCAGCATTACAGAGAGCTTGCTCAATCGCTGTACCAGATAAGAAAAGCAGATAGAATGGGAATATAAAATCATATTCCTACTTTTCCAACTGTATTAAACATCCTCTGCTGATGTTTCACTCACACCACAAAGTCATTAGTTTGTCTCATGTTCATTGGTCCATCCACCTTCTTTGACCAGCCATTAAATCACCAGATCCAGGAGGGGACCCCCCCGCCCTGGAAACACACCTGTGGATCTCGACCAATGCAAACGCACCTGTGGCCAGCAGGAAGGACTCAGGGGTTCTCGCAGGGAGAGGGGGAGGGGAGTCGTCGCTGTCCCAGCAGTCTGGGTTAAAAGGTCAGAGGTCAGATGAGAAGCAAAGTTAATGAACGGGCTCCGAGGAGGGAGGAAAGAGCGTTTCTCAAATATTTCTCTAAAGATAGCGGGACTTCTAAAAGCAGTTTGAAATATGATGAGTCACCTTTCTGGGCCAATTTTAAACTTTATTTATAGACAATATAACTATAGATAATTTTGTTCTTTTTGTGTTTTTCTTATTGATGTTCAAAAGGATGTTCTTTTTTATTTTCACGTGATTGTTCATTTAATGAGATGTTGATTTGCTTATGTTTGACTATGTATGTGAACCCCAATATGAACAGCCAATGCTAATGCTAGTGCTAATGGGGGTCCTAATAAAGAAAGAAATATGGACTGCTATTTCCCCATTTCTTTCTATTGTAATATACTGTGATTTAAAATGACTTAATATTAGGATGTATTAGATTAGAAACATTTATTGTCATTATACATGTACAATGCAAAATAAGAAAAGCTAATCCAGGCTGAAGACTTTTCTTTTTGCCGCTGCTTTTAATTGATATATTCATATCTTAAACTGCACTGTAACTTCTATCATCTTAGCTTTTTATCTTTGCTTGTGTTTCTAGATATCATTTTATAATATGTTTCTTAATGCTTTTAATGTCTTTCATTTTTGTAAAGCACTTTGAATTGCCTTGTGTTGAAAGGTGCTATATAAATAAACTTGCCTTGCTCCTTTTTTAAGGTCCCATCGGGATTTATTCAAACAAACTACAAAAGACGTCACTAAGTGGACCAGCCAATGCAAAGCACTCATTTAAATATCGGTATATACTTTTATTTCTCAGTAGTGAACCATGTAAAATAAAATAAATAAGTCATATAATTAGCATGATAAATACATTTATTTATGTTGGGTCTTATATTGGACATACATATTTTATTTCTGGGACTTTTACTGTGCTGTTAAGTTACTGTAACAGATTAAGCTGCAACTAAAATGATGGACATAATCATATCTCCTTACCTCATTCAGGTTTATATTCTTAAAATGTATCAATTTTTGCCCATATCTACGTCTGAAGTCAACTGTTCTATTTATGTGGACTTTGGGAGAATACTAAGAGGCCATTACCCATAGCCTGACAGTAATAACTTTCAACTTGTTCTCCTTTGATCCAGACAAAGAAATGTGGCTATTTTCAATTAAAGCGCAATATCAGGAAGTCATATTGTATTAATGACCGTATTATTTGCCATGAGTGTGTGTCGGACTCTATCTCACTGGGACCTGGTTTCAAGGAAGTCTGACCCCGGCCTTCATTATATTTTCTAACAATTTTCTGGAGGGTTAGGGGAAGCAGGATAGCTCAAATTAACTGTGATTATATTACATTTAAAGGGTTTTTTGTTGTTGCCTTTGAGCACAGCGTCTTTATAAAACATTTTAAGCCCTCTTTTCTTGGTTTATATATTCTATAGAGAGGCGAAGTCCCGCCCATCTACTTCCGACACATGGGACCTTATTTCGGAAAAATTATGTATTGAAGTCAATGGGGAGAGAAAGATTATCTTTCGATCCCGTTTGAATTGTGCCACGAATTACACATATGATGTTTGTCAATCTTAACAAATCATTTCCATGTCAAAAAAGTAAAACTGTTGAAATATAAGATTATGAAAAATACGCAACTAGAAAGACTACAAATCCCAGAATCCCGGTCCCGCATGCTGGCTCTTACGGAACCGACTAACTCCCCTTTTGTGTATGTACAGCTGTCAACATGCCCAGACTTGTAGTGATTTTCACCTCTTTTAATACTTTTCGCCTCATTCTGAAAGAAAGAAGTGAAATGTGCTAATGTGACGGCCATCTTGGTGTGTGGTGCGAGACGGGAGATGTGTTCATTAGGCGCGTTCACACCGGAGTACTTTTACCCCATACTTTTCCATCGTACTTTTCCCGTTTAGTTCCGTTAGTACCCCTAGTGTCGCGTTCACACCAAAAAGAGTGCCGGGAACTTTTACCCCCATTTTTAGTGCCAAAAAAGTACCAATTTCAATTGGCTGGGCGAATTGCAAACCACGCCCTGTAAAACTCTGAAAAGTTTTTTTAAGCAGCCATTGTATTTGCTGGCATTAGCATTATTAGCATTAGCCCCGCGCACCAACGGAGAGAAAATAACTTATGGCAACACAAAAAAAAACATGGGAGCGGTGGAGATGAGGAGGTGTCGGCGTTCTGACGATTTACTCAGAAGTCCCCAACTCCGGGGACTTCCGGCCGGAGACTTCGGTTATACATCCATGGGCAATATACGCCGTATAGTTGTTTGCGGCCTGCCAGTAAACCCAAAGCAGAAGAAGACGAAGTGACGTCAGCGGCTCATTTGCGTAATCTTCCCTCAGGGAAAAGTACTCCGGTGTGAACGCGATTGGTACTTAGTGCCCTGGGGTAATAAGTGCCAGGGCACTCATACCTCATTCACACCAACGGTGTTTCAGGGCCGGTTCGGAGCTGGAGCTTGAAAAGCACCGGGTTTTCCTGTTCACACCGCAGCGGAGCAGCCTCTTAGCTCCGGAATCCGGTTCACTTCGAGCACCAAAAAATTGTCCGGCCAGAACAAAAGCACCACATACGTCACGCTTACGTCGAGGCGGGGGCAGGGGCAGATCAACTCTTGAACAACAACAAAACGCCGGCATTTTATCCAGTTTGTACACAACGATGGAGAAACTTAACAAGCAGCAGTGGTCCACTGAAGAGACCAGCTACCTACTGGGAATCTGGTCTTCCGAAGAGGTACTGAGGAAGCTGGAGCACAATCGGCCATTATTGTTGTTGTTGTCGGTGTCAGCTGTGAGGGGTTTCCGCGCGGTTTGGCTTTATGAAGCAAGCACGCAAACGGTTACGTCATGACGCAAACGATGACGCAATGACGCAGCACCAGTCGGACTCTGGGCAGTGTGAAAAGAGCCGGAGCTAAACCGAAGAACCGGTTCTGAACCTGAAAAGCTCTAGCACGGAGCTTGAACCGGAGTTGCGTTGGTGTGAATGAGGTATAAGTGCCGGCATTAAGTACGGCAAAGTACTTGGTGTGAAAGCGGCTATTGAGCGGTTTCACACAAACAAATGTGTTACTTCACATTTTTACGACACATTTTTATTTTTGTGACTTGTAAAATGATCTTTTAAATTGACAAACATCATATGTGTAATTCGTGGCACAATTCAAACGGGATCGAAAGATAATCTTTCTCTCTCCATTGACTTCAATACATGATTTTTCCGAAATAAGGTCCCATGGAGGTCCCCCGGAAAAGGAGAGACTTCGCCACTCTATTGACCCTAATCGACTATCTAAAGCCAGTGCAGATGGATGTCTGCGTTAGCCAATAGTTACTTTAGAAAGAAAGGTATTTCTGGAAACATTACGAGTGTGTACAGCAGGTTAATGTCACTATAAGTTATTAGAGCCAGAGCCAAATTATTCTGTTGTTCCTGATCTCACTGAAGTGAGAGCAAAATCCATTGAGCAAGTTTAATCAATATGAGAAAAGTGGAACTAGCATGTTTATTTGTCCAGATAATAATTGAATACTAATTAAGGAAATATCACATATACCGATAGCAAAGCAAAGATTTTGATTGGCAGGTTTAAGAATAATTTATTGTCTACATTGACTGTATGTTTTTAATTCTAACTTTACACGCATTGTTTTCCCTGTTTTTAACTGATTGTATTTCTTCTTTGAACTGCAAACACCTTTTATAAAAATGTTTGTACAGTTTGGTTGGTTAATTGATGATTCAACCAGCAGCCACCAGCTTTTTGTCCTTAACCAACAGCAGCATCAGCAAGCTCTCAGCCCTCTCTAACAGCAGTTAGATTGTGAACAAGCGGACAGCAGCCATCAGAGCCTCACACCGACTCAAAGCACCACAGCCCACACACACACAGTGCCAGAAGCCAAGCACACCAAAACACAAGTAGCCCATCCAGGACCAGGAGAACCTCTGCAGTTTTCCTACATACTGGAAATACTTCAGGAGAGCATGATGTATGAGACATTTAAATGGCTTCCACAACATTAGAATTGTATTTGATATTATTAGAAAGCATCACTTTATTTTGGAAGAATAGTTCCTCAAAGTGTGTGTTATGGCTGTCTAGTATGAATGAATATATATATATATATATATATATTTTTTTAAAGAAATCCATGTTGTTGTCACTCTAACAGCCTATTTTCTCTTTAGTTCCTGAAACAAGAAGGATCCAATTTAAAATAAAAACGTGTTATTTGTGCTCTGTCTGTGCACATTGCAACTTTCTTCAACATCACAGTAAGCACCTTGGGTACATTCATTTTCTTTAAAATGTCGTATCAAGATTTGTTTAGGTTTGTATAATTACTATGGTCTGATAGAGTGTTATCTACGTTCTTAAACTACTAAAAGGCTATGTTCTCTAAAATATCTGGCACAAGTCGGATCATAAACTTGTATCACCCATCCTGGAAAACATCTATGAACTATTTCCAGTTGAGTGGGGCTGGAAACCCTTTAAAAACCTATGGCTAATCTACTTATTCCACACCATTTTTATTATCTTTTTAACTGATTTATTGATAGATGGACATCATGCACCCGAACAGTGAATCCAAATATGTAAGTATGCAGTTAAGTCTTAATTCATCAAGCTTTGAATCCATTCAAGAACAAAACCATTTCCAAGCCACTTCAAAACATTCCATGTCAGCTCCAATCGCAGCGAAAATCAGATTTCAAAACCTCATGATTTTGAAATCCTCAGAGAAGAGGAGCGGGTCTTTGGCTCCAGAAGATAAACCCAGCTCAGGTCTGATGATGACAGGAGCCTCACAGAGGGTCACAGCTCTGTTCAACACAAAGTGAGCACAGTTGGCTGCTGTGTATTCATCCCAATCATGCAGTGTTGATCCTTCACCATCCAACATGCACACACACACTGAAACAAAAACAGGGTTTCTTTCTCCCATTTGCAATCCCACTCACTTAGACAAACACACACAAGCTGAGAGAGGAAGAGGAGAGTTGTTTTGACAGATGTTTGCCTGTTAACATTTGCAGCATTCCTCACAAACCGACCAATTAGTTATACAGCCACTGAGACGAGCTCAGTAGAACTATCTCGGTTTCTCTTGTGACTTCTTTCCATCTCGTCTCTCTGCCTCCGTCTGAACCCAGCAGTGAGGACAGGACAGTGGTGTGTGTTGACAGATACAGGTTATTAATTAGCATGTGGTCTGTTGTCTAACCCAGAACATGTAGCGTGTGGTTCCTCTGAGCGAATGTGTGTGAGGAGAATAAAGAGTTACTCTCAGGTTTTTTACCAGAGATAGAGTCCGTAGAACTTAATGGGAAGTACACCCATTTGAAAATGCCCACAGGTTGTTCCTATGCTCAAATTCAATACAGAAATATTAGTAAACTCTCTCCCAAATCCAAACACTGAAATATGTCATGTAGAATAAGGCTGAAACTGCTTAATAAACTATTGGGAAAGATTTTGAAACTGACTATATGGGTGAATGGCCTTGGTGATAATGTCTGGTTTCTGGCTTTAGCTAGTAGCTCGTGCTCCAATTGTATTAAATAGGATATTGTTTCTTTTTTTAAATTCAAGGAGGTATTCCCCTTTAAATAGACTCCTCAGAACTGATTTACCAACAAACTGATGTCAACAACTTCCTCCACACGTACACTGGGATTTATGTTAACCAAGCTTTTTTCTATGCATTTAGGCCTTTCCTCCACCATAACACAGCATTTGGGGTCCATGAAAATGGTGATTTTGTAAAACTCTTGTTAGGGTGAACCATTTAGAAACTGACACGTAGAGAGGAAGTGTTTGGCTTGTTTAAGCGCCGTTGACTCCTTTTAGAGAATGCAGTGGCGGCAGAAATATATATAATTGCAGAAGTATCCAAATGACTTTACTTACATGTTCACAGATGAATGTAAAGTTACTGTTTCCCTATGTTGAGGGACAGAGGGGTCAGAATGTGTTGTGGAGCTCCCATTATCCAACACTCCCATGAATCAGACACTGCTACAGACATGTTTGGGGTTGTGTGTGTATGCATGTGCATAGATAGGATTTAGTTTCTTAGAGCTAAGGAGGATGAAACCCAATGTACAAAAATACCTGTGTACGAGTGGACTAGGCCTTAATAGGATTTATTTATTATGATTGAGTTCATTCAGATTCCTATTTAACTGACTTCCTGTATAGTTGTTAGTGGATGCTGTGAGAGGAAGCAGCCAGTTAGTTAGAGTCAGAGTCATTCAATCAAAGCAGCAGACTGACATACTTGCTGTGGCTGACGGAGACCCCTGCCCTGCGATGGACATGGACGACACCTTCCGGACCGGCAGCTGGTCTCCATGGTGAGGGGATGCTGTTACCACGGCTGTTGCCATGGATACATTAGTACGGTAACCCTCGTTTCCTCCGGACATCTCGCTGTCCCCCTCCTCGTCCGAGTTATCCGAGTGCAGGGGGTTGGTGAAGCACAGGGCAGTCCTAACAGGAGTGGAGGAGGAGGAGGAAGAGGAGGAGGAGGGAGCGGCACGGTCTGAGGAGGAAGAGGAGGAGGAGGTTTTGGGGAAGTGTTTGTCAGGACTGTTGCAGGCCTGACTCCACGCTGTATGGCCACCCTTCACGTCCAGTTTCTCCCCCCCGAGTGTCTCCCCCTTCTCACTCTTCACAGGGAGGTGGTTTGGTCTGGTGAGGACCCCCCCCTCTGCAGGACCCTCCCCACACCCACCCGCTCCTCCCTCTGTGCCCGAGTCCTCCGACAGCGAAGAGCTAGACGTGAGCAGGGATTGGCCAGAGCGGGCTTTGAAGGCGTGGCTTCTCTGCAGCGCTCCTGCGTTATTGGCTGAGCCGCTGCCCGCTCCGCCTGCTACCCCCATGGAGGAGGAAGTGTCAAAACTACGAGGTCCTTCCTGTAACGGCACCTTTTTAATCTCAATGCTCAGCTTCCTCTCGATCCGAGGAACGCCAGAACATTCTAAAACAGCCGGGGAGAGCGGCGAGGAGGGGGTCTGCGTCTGGCTCTGGCCCGAGTCCGATTTACTGGATGTTGATTTGTTGTTATAGTTGTCGTTGAGATCTAGATTTGAGACCTGAGTCGGCTGTTTTCCACTTTGTAGATTTTGGTCTTTCTGCTCTGAGGGACTGCTCTGCTTGTTTAGACTGGGTTCAGATTTGTTCTGCTGCTGGTCGGCGTCTTTATTCTGAAAGGAAAAGTAAAGGAAACATTGAAGCACCTTTTCCAAATGCAGCACCACCTAGAAAACAACAGAAGTCGTCTCTGTGTTGGGGGGGGGGAGCAGGTCTGAAAGGGAGTTAGTGTTTAGGATTAGTTTTTGTCTTATTTGATATTTGTAAAATAAAAAAAATGACCAGCAACTGTGTACGTTTCTGTAAAGCTGGACTCACCTGTGTAGCCAGGACGTGGATGACAGGTTTGGGGTGGTAGCGGTCGTTGTCCTGCCGTACATTTGTGACGGTGGGGAAGGCTGACGGGGGAGACGGAGTCAGGATGGGGGGGACGGGGTGAGGCTCAGGCGGCTGCAGTATCTCCTCCTTCACATCCCCTTCTGCCTGGGCACTACACAGAGAGACCAACAGAAAAAGAAAACAGAAATTAAACCCTGTACATGCACAGAGATTGCATTCATTTGTATTCAACATTTGCTACAAGAAGAGAGTTTTACACGTTAAAGTAATGACCAAACCAAAAGTATTTGATGAAAGAGAAAGAAGAAGGAGGCAACAGGTTTCAAGACTGTGGTTAAGAAAATTAGGAAATGAGAATGATGAAAAGGCAAGAATTTCATCACAGGGCTCAAACAACCGTCTGACATGAATTATTCTTATCTATAAATAATGATGAATCAACTCCGACTGAATGTATTGCATACATTAATACAACTAAAAGGGAGTTTCTGATAATGTTGTGACAATAGTCACCACTAGGTGGCAGAGTTTAAATGTTGTATGTTTCACCTATATAGTTTCAGGATTTAAGTGCAAAAGTGATGACATAAAGCAAACTGAAAACAGACTGAATTCAGAGTGCATTCCTCTCAAATAAATGTATTTATTATCTAATGTTTCTGGGACTGCAGTGCAGAGTTGAAGACACATTTCCAAAGGGAAATGCTTAAATTAAGAAAAAGTATCTTCAGCCAGCGTAAAGAGAGAGTTATGTGGTATTCAGTGGATGTTTGTGCTAGTACAGTATCTGCAGTAATGCATAAAGATGTGATATATATTTCACTAGCCTTCATTTAATTTAATTTCAAACCTTTATTTAACGAGATTGGTCCCATTGAGATCATAGATCTCTTTTTCAAGGGAGACCTGCAGCATATAGGTTCCACATGAAACATAAAACAATAAAGGACATTATACATTATATTTACAGGATACATTTACATAGTTATAGACATTTACAAGTGGCCATAGTATTAACGAGCATTTCATTTAGCCTAGCTTTAAAAACATGCAGAGGAATGAGATTGCTCAGTTTCAATTCTTGCTGAAGATTGTTCCAAGCAAGTGGAGCTGCGCACATAAAAGCTGTCTTACCTAAGACAGTCCTTGCTCTTGGCACATCTAACAATACTACATCATGCGATCTCAGACAATAGCTGCTTGCAACTCTCTGTGTTATCAGAGAGCAGATATAATACGGGAGTTTACCCAACAAAGCTTTATAAATAAACGTGTACCAATGACTGAGCCTCTTTACAGTAAGTGATGGCAGACAGGGTACAGTGATGAGTAAGTGCTTTACAATTTGTGACAAATCTCAGTGCGCTGTGATAGGCGGCATCTAACTTGTTCAGGCAATAGGCCGGTGCATTCATATACATCAGATCACCATAGTCCAGCACAGGTAAAAAGGTCACAGTGACTAGCCTTTTCCTGGCCTCAAGCGAGAAACAGGACTTGTTTCTGAAAAAGAAACCTAGCCTAACCCTTAGCTTTTTAAGCAGGTTATTGACATGAAGTTTAAAAGTAAGACAATCATCAAGCCAGATACCTAGGTATTTATAACAGGTAACCACTTCAAGTACTTGTCCTTGCATAGTAACAATGTCCAAAACAGGCTCTGGTGTCTTTTTAGCTTTAGAAAAGAGCATTACCTTGGTTTTATCAACATTTAAAAGAAGCTTAAGTTCAGCGAGCTGAGTCTGAATAATGTTAAGAACAGCCTGTAATTTAACACCAGCCTCCTTAATGGAGGGACCTGCACAGTACATCACGGTATCGTCCGCATAAAAATGTAAAGTAGCTTCATTCACATTTTCACCTAAACTATTGATGTAGATGGAGAATAAAAGTGGACCTAAAACAGAACCTTGAGGAACACCATTAGCAATGTTTAACCACTCAGAAGACAGCCCATCAAAGTGAACACATTGGGACCTTTCAGAGAGGTAGTTCACAAACCACCCCACTGCATGGCTGGATATGCCAATACTGAGTAGCCTCTGCTTTAAGATGCGATGATCGACGGTATCAAACGCTTTGGAAAGGTCAATAAATAGAGCTGCACAACTCTGCTTATTGTCTAAAATACTCGCCACATCATTCACCACTTTCATTGTGGCAGTGATGGTACTATGTTGCTTTCTGAAGCCTGACTGATGTTTAGACAGGATATCATTTTTACATAAAAACTCCTTTACCTGTTCACTCACTAGGCGTTCGAGCACCTTCGCCAGAACTGACAATTTAGAGATTGGCCTATAGTTATTTAAAATAGTTGCCTCCCCTCCTTTTAGTAAAGGCAAGACATAAGCTAACTTCCATACTTTTGGAATTGCATTTGTGCTGAGAGAGAGGTTAAAAAGAGTAGTAAGAGGAAGAGCAATAACATCTGCAGCTATCTTTAAAAAGAAAGGTTCTACGTTGTCCGGGCCAGCAGGTTTCTTAGGATCTAGCTTAGATAAAGCTTCATGAACAACATTGACAGTAAAAGGAGTAAAACTGAAAGGGTTTTCCAGACCACATTGTTCAGAGTCACGGATTGGGGTGTTCACAGAAGCAGAGTTAGTGACATAATGAAACATAGAGCCACAGGACACAAAATGCTCATTAAAGCAATTTAACATGGTGGCCCTGTCCGATATAGAGCCAGATGCTGTGGTAAGGCACGGAGGTAGCTCATTACGGATCTCACCGGTGGATATGGATTTTATGGTTTTCTGTGGTAACTGACAAATAGTACTTCGACTTAGCACTTTTGACATTTGAAGTGAAGCTATTCCTTAGCTGCCTAAAACGCAGCCATTCTACCTCTGAGCCTGATTGCCTAGCCTTTGCCCAGGCCTTGTTTCTCTCATGAAGAAAACTGGACAGTTCAGCAGAAAACCAAGGATTGTCTCGTCCCTTCACTCTAAATTTACGAAGGGGTGCATGTCTATCAATGATCTCCATAAAACCAAGATAAAAATAAGACCATGCAGTTTCTACATCAGCACACAGATCCATTTTTCCCCAATCAAACCCAAACAGATCATGAACAAAACCCTGCTCCACAAAATGTTTTATGTCTCTCTTGATGATAATACGAGGTTTAACCTTTTGGACCTTAGTGTCCCTAATTGTGGCTACAACACAGTGATCACTCAGATCATTCGCAAATACTCCCACAGATAAGTATTTATAGGGAGCATTAGTTAAAATGAGATCAATTAGGGAGGATTTATTCTATTATTCTTGTTTTGCTCGATCTCAGTGCTGCATTTGATACTATCGACCATGATATCTTATTGCAAAGACTAGAGCACTTAGTTGGCATACAGGGAACTGCTTTAGACTGGTTTAGGTCCTATCTATCTGAACGCTCTCAGTTTGTACATGTCAATGATGAATCTTCCACGCAAACCAAAGTTAGCCATGGAGTGCCACAGGGCTCAGTGCTCGGACCTATTCTGTTCACATTATATATGCTTCCATTAGGCAATATTATAAGGAATCATTCTGTACATTTTCATTGTTATGCGGATGATACTCAACTATATTTATCAATCAAGCCTGATGAAATTAATCATCTAAATAAAATTCAAGACTGCCTCAAGGACTTAAAAACGTGGATGACCTTAAACTTTTTGATGTTAAACACGACCAAAACTGAAGTTATTGTACTTGGCCCGAAGAATCCACGAAACAAATTATCTAAGGATATACTAACTATGGATGGCATTAATTTGGCCTCCAGTGAGACTGTAAGGAATCTTGGTGTTATATTTGATCAGGATTTATCCTTTAACGCCCACATAAAATCAATTTCAAGGACCGCCTACTTCCATCTACGTAACATTGCAAAAATCAGGCATATCTTGCCTCAAAACGATGCAGAGAAACTAGTCCATGCATTTGCTACTTCAAGGCTGGATTATTGTAACTCCTTATTATCAGGGTGTACCAAGAAGTCAGTCAAGTCGCTTCAGCTGATTCAAAATGCTGCGGCTCGTGTACTAACCAGAGTTAGGAAAAGGGACCACATTACTCCTGTTCTGGCTGCCTTACACTGGCTCCCTATAGAACACAGGATAGAATTTAAAATTCTTCTTCTTGCCTACAAAGCCCTTAATGGGCAGGCGCCATCTTACCTTAAATAACTCATTATACCCTACTGTCCTACTAGGGCATTGCGTTCCAAGAATGCAGGGTTGTTGGTTGTTCCTAGAGTCTCTAAAAGTACAATGGGAGCCAGAGCCTTTTCTTATCAAGCTCCACATTTGTGGAATCAGCTTCCAGTTTGTGTTCGGGCGGCAGACACCCTATCCGTTTTTAAGAGTGCGCTTAAGACCTTCCTTTTTGATAAAGCTTATAGTTAGGGCTGATTAGATTCAGCCCCTAGTTTTGCTGATATAGGCTTAGTTTGTCGGGGGACATCTTACTTCTTCCTTCTCTCTGTCTATACTTGTGTACTCTCATGTTCCGATTAACCCAGCTTCCCCAAATGTCTTTCTTTTTGGTGTCTATATACGCCGGGATCCGGAGTCATGGATGATCCTGCGCTCCTCTGTCCTGGATCGCGAGCCCTGGATCTTGAGTCGTGGCTGTGGTCCTGGATCATAGGTCCTGGATGGATATCCTCGTGGATTCATCTTCCTATTATACACACATGCATTTCCAAACATTTGGACTACCTATATTGCAAATGTATTATCTTTTCAATTTACACACGGCATCTATTTGCACATCTGTCAGTCCTGGGAGAGGGATCCCTCCTCTGTTGCTCTCCCTGAGGTTTCTCCCATTTTTCCCTTTAAACTGTGGGTTTTCTTCGGAAGTTTTTCCTTGTACGATGTGAGGGTCTAAGGACAGAGGGTGTCGTATTGTCATACTGATATTTTGTACAAACTGTAAAGTCCACTGAGACAAATGTAACATTTGTGACATTGGGCTATATAAATAAACATTGATTGATTGATTGATTTATTAGGGAACTTAATGTTAGGGCGAGTAGGACTGTCAACAATCTGAGTAACATTCAAAGAGATACAAAGGTTTTTAAAATCCTCTGACACTGCAGTTAACCAGTCCCAGTTAAAATCTCCAAGTAGCACTATTTCCTTGTAGTCTAGT